GGGCTGCGTGTCCACCTGTCCCCCTCACCCCCAATCCCATGAGGGCACGCAGGAGCGGCAGGATGGGAAGGAAGTCTGTCTCAATGTTGATATTCCATATGTCCCTTTAAAAAATTAATGGCTTGGGGCACCTGGGTGGCTTAGTCCATCAAGCGTCCAACTCTTGATCTCAGCTCAGGTCTTGATCTCAGGATTGTGAGTTCAAGCCCAGCGTGGGGCTCCATGCTGGGCATGGAGCCTACTTTAAAAAAAAAAAAAATGAATGGCTTAAAAAATAAAACTACAGGCACAATCCCTGTTTATAATAGGTTTGAGAAATGCAGAAAAATGTGAAAAATCACCCACAGTCTCGGCGTCCAGAGGTTAACTGCGTTTGGTATTTTGTGATCTATCTTGCCAGCCCTTCATATATGAACGTTTTCTAAGAATGTTCAAATGGTCGTGAATGTGAAGGTTTAGATCCATTACATTTAACATTGGATGACCCGAGTCCTAGGCCAGAGTTGGGCATTTCCATAATTTTCACTTTTTAGACCATTGTAGGCAACCGCAGCAAATGTGTTTTTATGAAAATCTTTTATTATTTTCTTAGGGCAGTTTCCGAGAAGTAGCATTTCAGGATCAAAAGGTATGAATGTTTTTAAAGCTTTCCCTGTTTGCTGCCCGCAGTTGGTGGTGCCGGAGGCGTGTGAGACCTAGTTTTTCCACCTTCCCGTCAGTGGTGGGCATCGCCTGGGGACTCCCTGGGCCTGGGAACCGCCTTCTCCCCCTGCAGCTCTCCTGGCGGGAAAAGCTGCTCCCCCTCTGCTGCCTCAGTGGCTCTCTGACCAGACGGGGTTTCAGGAGGAGGACTGTTCCTTCTTTCACTCCCAGATGCAGCGAGCAGGTAGTGCTGAGCAGCGCCGGGGGGCAGGGAGATGGATTGTAACAGGACTCCTGCAGTCCTGAGCTGGGGGCCTGGGGGCTGGCTGGGCTTGAGTTCCAGAGCTGGGCAGCCCCAGGAGAGGCTCTCAGCCAGGGGCCGTCTCAAGGTGCAGAGCCCTGGACCTTTGGTCAGAATGAAGCTGGGGATCCACACTCGCTAAGTGGTCTAGCGTAGTGTTCAGACTGCAGACCCTGACTACCTGGGTTCAAGGCTGACTTTGAACCTATCATGCTTCAGACCTGTCTCCTCATCTGTAAAATGGGCAGGAACAGCAGTGCCCGGCTCCCACATCACTGTGTGTAGTGCGTGCTTGGGGCTCAGCAGGTGGTGTCCCCCCAGCCCTGCCCGAGGTGGCCTGGACCCTTTGAGAAACGGCATGTTAAGGGACCCAGCCTTTTCTGAGTGCTCAGTCCCCTATCAGGTGTTCAGGGGTCTGAAGGCTCCTCACCTGTCCCCACCCAGCCAGCAGGCCCAGAGGGTTGGGATTGGATAGGGCCCTTGTTCTCACAGCCACAAACCCCTCGGGGGGCCTGCTGTCCTGGGTCCTAGGAGTCTTGGGCTCAGCGTCAGGGCAGGCTTTGGGAGGAATCTGTCCAGGGAGCCTTTGTTTTCTGGCCAGGAAGCCATGCCTGAATTAGCTCTGACAGTCCTTCTTCAAGCTCACCCTGCCGGGCATCCTTCGGGGACACCAGGGAAACGCTGGGAGGCAGAAGTGGCCTCTGGGGACTGTCTTGTTAGCTGCTGGCAACTTGCTGAAGAAATGGAAATTGGAAGGACTGGTCCCCTCCTCTGTGTCCCCAGTCTCCCCCGCGGCTCCCCTTCTCCTTTCAAGAAGCATCTGTGCTCCCTGTTTATACCTTCCCTTCTTGCTTGTCATTGGGAGCCCAGGGGACGAGGCAGGCCCGAAGGCTGCAGGTGGCATGCTTCTGAAGGCTGACGCCGTCCCCTGCCTTTGGTGGGGGAGGTTGCAGCCATGAGGCTTTCCATCCAGGGACCTGGATCTGTTCCTCCAGTCACTGCAGAGATCAAATGCAGGCACCCCAGGGGCCTGAGAGGGAGAGAAGAGGGGTCGTAACTACACTATTAATTCCTACCCCAAACAGAACTGACGTGCTAGAAAACAAGGTACTGAGAGAGCCTCCCCATAATTTCAGGTCCCCTCAGACTGGGCTCCGTCAGGTTGAATGTGTCGGGTCCCAGGTCTGGCCGCCCTCCCGTGGCCTTGAGCTGACGCTGGTGCTGGGGGACTTGCAGTGAAGAGGGAGGAGACCCCTCCCCTCGTTCTGTTCACACCCCTCTTCTGTCTCAAAGCCTTGGCTGGCCCCTCCCTTTGGGACTCAGCCCTTGCTCCTCCCTGGAGGCGGGTCCTGCCTTTTCTGACCTCCAGCCTTCCTGCTACCAGCTGGGTCCCCACGCTTCAGCCGCAGCTCTTGGTGTTGTCGGAACAGACCCCATGAGGTCCCCCATCCCACACATCTGTCTGTCAGGATGCCCTGCCTCCTCCAGTCTCTGCCTGGGAAGCTGTTCCTGGCCTTCGTCCCTCTGAATCCTTGAGACCTGAGACCCCCCCCCCCCGCCGCCACCCTACCGGACAGCTGATGGACTCCTCCTCCTCTTGACCTTAACTGCAAGAGCTTGAGCCTTGTCCCCGTTGTGGCACTTGTCTTCTGTCTTCCTCTGTTGGTCCTCCTGCTCTTGTCTTTCTGTTTTATTATTGGAGTATAATTAACGTACTCTGTAATATTAGTCTCAGGTGTGCAATCTAGTGATTCGGCGGCTCCATACATTTCTCAGCGTGCATCACAAGAAGTGTCTCTTCTTCACCTCCACCTGTTGGCCCCTCTCCCTGCTCTGGAAACCACCCTGTGGGTCTCTATTTAGGGGCTTGTTTCTTTGTGTGTTCAATTGTTTTGTTTCTTGAATTCTGCCTGTGAGTGACGTCACCTGGTATTTCTCTTTCAATTCCTGCTCTGGTGGGTCTGCCCTGCATCAGGGAGCTGGTGCATTATTATTTTTTTTTTTTAAAGATTTTATTTATTTATTTGAGAGAGAGAGAATGAGAAACAGAGAGCATGAGAGGGAGGAGGGTCAGAGGGAGAAGCAGACTCCCCGCCAAACAGGGAGCCCGATGCGGGACTCGATCCCGGGACTCCAGGATCATGACCTGAGCCGAAGGCAGTCGCTTAACCAACTGAGCCACCCAGGCGCCCTGGTGGTGCATTATTTTTTAATGAAGGTTTTATTTATTTATTTGAGAGAGAGAAAACATGAGTGGGGGGAGGGGCAGAAGGAGAGGGAGCAGCAGACTCCGTGCCAAGCAAGGAGCCTGACGTGGGACTCGATCCCAGGACCGTGACCCAGGATCATGACCTGAGCCAAAGGCAGGCGCTTAACCAACTGAGCCACCTAGGCACCCCGGAGCTGGTTCTTTTTGAGGCCCCTGTGAGACTGACCGGGAGCCTTTTGTCACAGGTCCTAGTCTGTGAGGTAAGCAGATGCAGGCTCTGCCTTTGGCCTGCAATTGGGGGATGGAGGTGAGGTCCACTAGGGAATAATCCTGGCCACAGCCCAAGTCGAAGGCCCTGCCAGGGTGAGCAGAGCTGGCTGACGGTAGAAGGAACCTGCCTGCTTCCTTTGGAAGTCACATGTTCCTGCGGGGGTGACTGTCGTGGAGGCACGCGTTCAACCGAGGCCAGGCCTGGCCCTCTGTCCCCAGTGCCCTGTAGCTCAGCACTGAGGCCCTCTGGGAGGTGTTGGTGGGAGAGCAGGCCTGCCCAGGAAGCTGGAGGGATAGCCAAGTCCTCCAGGGGTTGTCTGAAGCTCTTCTAGGTCCTTCCACTGCCCTAGCTTCCTTGTGCTGCTGTGGTAAGGACACTGTGCTCGAGGAGTGCACAGTGGAGCTAGGGGCAGGCCTCCCTGCAGTGTAGACCTTCCAGCCTGGCCTTCCCAGTGGGTCCTGCCCTCAGCTGAACTTTCCCACCAGACACACACACACACATACCCCACCTCTCATGTTCTCGCTGTTGCCCTGCACCCCAGACTCCTTGACCCTTTTTAACTCCTCTAACCCCTTCCCACTCAACAGGTTCCTGGACCAGACTCCATCTTTCCCCTGAGATGCTTGTCCCCTGCTCATGGCTCTGTGCCTGGCTGTCATCCTGGATTCTGTCCTGTTTCACCCCCACATCCAGCGCTGATGGGTGTCCTCCCAGTCCCCCCTCGCTGGCTTTCCAGCCTGCTACCCCTGAGTCAGAGCCTGTCCCCCTCCCACAGTTATCTTCAGGGAGGTCTCCTAACATGGCTCAGGAGGCCCTCATGCCTCCACAGCCCCGCCTTGGCAGTGTCAGGCCCCGCCTGGAGTATCCATTCTTCATGCCCTCTGCCCTTTCCTCCCACCTGGAAAATTCTGTCTCCATCAGGGGTGGTATCTTCTCTAGAAAACATGCTTGATCTCTAAGAGTGACCCTTCTTCGTGCTTCTGTACCTCTTGGTGAACGCTTAGATCATAGCTTTTTTTTTTGGAAGATTTTATTTATTTGTGAGAGAGAACGAGTGAGCATGAGCGGGGGGGCGGGGAGAGGGAGAAGCAGGCTCCGCACTGAGCAGGGAACCCAACAGGGAACTCGATCCCAGGACCCTGGGATCATGACCTGAGCCGAAGACAGATGTTTAACCGACTGAGCCACCCAGGTGTCTCTCTCTCTCTCTCTCTCTTTTTTTTTTTTTAAGGACAAACATTTCTCGCTCGTCCTCCTTGTTGTCCCACCACAGGTGCTCAACAGATATTTGTTGATTGAATGAGAGTGCTGACAGTTTGGAGTGGCCATGACTTTTCTAGTCGGGCCTTTTGCCTGTGGCCCAGATCCCTGCCATTCCCTCCGGAGGCTGCCGCAGCTGTAGAGGCGACTCCTGGGAAGTCTTGCCTTCCAGCAGCCACTTGACCCAAGTGTCCTAGGCGGTTGTCGGGCAGGACCTGTGTCCAGGTCTTCGGGCCACGTCTGGCCACCGCCTCAGTCCTCTGCTGCCTTTGCCTTGCAGGAAGATGGACCAAGGTCCCCTGTGCTCCTTTTTCCAGGCACTTCCCAAGGCAGGGCCATGCTCACGTTCATGGCCTCTGACAGTGAGGAAGAAGTGTGTGACGAGAGGACGTCCCTGATGTCGGCTGAGAGCCCACCGCCGCGCTGCTGCCAGGAGGCCCGGCAGGGCCTGGAGGATGGAGAGAATGCTGCCCAGTGGGTAGGTTCCTGCCAGCGGTCAGAGGCCCCGGGCTCCTGGCCCTCATGGATGGAACCCAGACATGCCCTGATGCGGGACGGTTGGGAAAGTAAGGATGAGAATCGGTCGCCAGGGTGGGTCCCCCAGGGTGGGTGGTGGGGCCCGGTCAGTGAGGGCTCTGGAGTAGACAGCATGTCTGCAGTCTGCCACGGACCGGATGGTTCTGCCCCCAGCCCCCACCTTCCTGGCACAGGTGCTGCGCCACGGAGCGTGGCAGCGAGTTTGCATGCGGGGAGGGGAGCACAGGCCCGGGGTGGCAGGGGGAGCACCGCAGAGGGCCGACAACCAGACCTGGGAACCATGGGATGAGCATCTACCTCAGTCGTGTGTGACTGTTGAGCTGGCTGCCACTTATAAACAACGGAAGTGTATTTCTCACTGTTCTGGGGGCTGGGAGGTGCGAGCGCAAGGTGCTGACAAATCTGGCGTCTGGTTCTTCTGGGTCTTCTCCTTGGGTCTTCATGTGGCGAGAGGGCCAGGGAGTACTCTGGGGCCCATTTATTTTAGTTTAGTTTAGTTTCAGAGGTAAAGGTCAATGATTCATCACTCTTATGTAATACCCAGAGCTCATTACATCACATGCCCTCCTTAATGCCCATCACCCAGTTACTCCATCCCCCCACCCCCTCCCCTCCAGCAACCCTCAGTTTGTTTCCTATGATTAAAAGTCTCTTATGGTTTGCCTCCCTCTCTGATTTCGTCTTGTTTTATTTTTCCCTCTTCCCCTATCTTCCTTTGTTTTGTTTCTTGAATTCCACATATGAGTGAGATCATATGATAATTGTCTTTTTCTGATTGACTTATTTAGCTCAGCATAATACCCTCTAGTTCTATCCACGTCGTTGCAAAGGGCAAGATTTCATTCTTTTTGATGGCTGAGTAGTATTCCATTGTGTATTTATACCACCTCTTCTTTATCCATCCATCTGTCGGTGGACATCTGGGCTCTGTCCATAGTTTGGCTATTGTGGACATTGCTGCTATAAACATCGGGGTGCAGGTGTCTGGGGCCCATTTATAAGTGCACTTATCCTATCAGGAGGGCTCTACCCTCACGACCTGGTCCCTCCCAAAGGCCCCACCTCCAGATTCCATCACATTGGGGGGTAGGGTCCAACGTGTGAATTTTGGGGGGACACAGACATTCCTATCTTATCTCTGCAGGGCAGGAGGCTGTAACATCATGAAGTCGGGGTGCCCTGGGGGAGAGTCACCTAGCCTCACCACCTCCCTCCCCATCAGGGCAAAATAGTATCTGGATTTGCCTGAAACCCCAGCTCCGTTTTGCCCACTATAGTATTTAAAACCTTTCGTGTGGAATTTTTCCTACCAGCCAGCCTTAGTCCCCATTGCTGAAATTAGAGCTCATTTCTTCCATCCTCTGAGCTCCCAGCGAGCTGGTCTCCGGTCTCTCCAGCTCAAGGCCACCGTGAGCCACTCCTAACCCCTCCTTTGCACTTTTCCTTATCTTAGCTGAGTGTCTAGCTTGGAATTCTCTCTGCAAAGAACCTTTTGAATTTGTGTTTCTCTTGGCTTTGTCTTTGGCGGTTAATGTAATTAACAAGGCAGCGAGTGACCCTGAGTTGGCACAATTCCCAAACAGAAATTCTTGCGGATGGGTTTAGGGCAGCGTGTGCCGGTGTCCTGCCTTCCCACCTTCCTGGAGCATGGAACCGCCCCCCAGGGCTTTGGTGTCAGTTAGCCCATTGGGGTCTGGTTCATGGCTCCCAGTTCTGCATGCCCTATTTTGTGCGTGTCAGGGGAGTTCCAAGTAATTTCTTTCTCTGCAAATTCCCAGTGTCTTACAGAGAGTCCTCGTGGGTGAAGACTCTTCTAGTGTGTGTGTAATTGGTCTTCCTCCTCTGTCACCTGGCCAGTCTCCTCCCAAATCTGTATGGCTCCTTGAACAGAACTGAATGGCTTCTGAGTCCCTGAATGGAGGGAGGAGGGAGATCCCTAGACGCGCTTCGGGTTCATGAGCCACATGTCCTGGGCCTGCAGGCTGCCCTCTCCTGTGGCTGCCATGGCCCCTTCCTGCATTTGCAGTAGTGAGTGCCAGCTATAAATCTTCCCTGGTTGATCTCGTAAATGTTTCCAATGCCCTGCTATCCCAGCACTCCTGCATCTAGAGCACTGCCCCCTAGGCTGGTTCTTCCATCTGGAAGGCAACACTCAAACTGCTCATTTCCAGTTCCAAAACACCTAGGCACTGCATCTCAGGGCCCACCATGGGGGCGTGCTGTGGCCCTCACGGAGCGGTTTTCCACAGAGAAGCCAGGATAGTGAGGAGGACCTCGAAGAGGACGCGGACCGCTACGTGTGCAGTGGGGTCCCTGGGCAGCCGTCGGGCCTGGAGGAGGAGCTGACCCTCAAATACGGGGCGAAGCATGTGATCATGCTGTTTGTGCCTGTCACGCTGTGCATGATTGTGGTGGTGGCCACCATCAAGTCTGTGCGCTTCTACACGGAGAAGAATGGCCAGCTGTAAGTTGGGGAGCAGGGCGGGGTTGGGGGGTCCTCTGCACCCGCAGCTCCATGCCAGGGGCCTGTGCAGAGCTGGGCTGAGAGCTGCCTGACTCCATACTCTGCTCTGTCCACTGCCTCCCCGCTGCGTGACCTGCACGGGCCCTTTCCTAACCGCTCTCTGCCTCAGTTTCCTTGTTTGTATAATGGGTCCAACACCAGGAGAATGAGGCAAATGGAACAGTGCCTGCTGCTGTGCGGTGCTAAGGCACACGGGGTTGCAGGGTGGAGGGCAGGCTCTGGATGCGTGGCCTGGGCAGGGTGTCCCCGGTGTGGGGTCCCGGGGGCGGGTGTGCCACACCACATGACTGAACAGGTGGTTTTCTCTCTGGGCCTCTGCTCCTGTGGATGGACACCCGCGTGGGGGCCGGAGATTTCTTAGCTGGCTTCCAGCCCCGTGAGGGAGGCTTGGATCATTTTAGTGGAAGGACAAGTGGGAAGCCACCTTTGCTCCCTCGCTTGCTGCTCTGGTGCAGTCGCCCGCCTCTGACTGCCTTCTCTGAACTTTGTTTTTAATGTTTTTAGTTAGGGAGCGTCCTTTTCATTTTGGTTTGGTTTTTCCAAAGAAAGGGGCAGGCTTGTGGTGGGCTGGGGCTGCAGAGCAGGTGGGAGGGGGCCCAGCATGCCTTGTGAGGGAAGGTGCTCAGCAGGCAGGCTTCTGCAGTCCCAGGCAGACAGGGTGGACAGGGCGGGCGGCCAGGGGACAGCTTCTCGCATGTATTGGCTATGCTGCTGGCCTGTGCTGCGTGGGGTAGGGGAGGCGGTGGGCGAGTCCTGGGCTGGCTGTGGGGGTTTGCTGGGCGCCCTGGCCTGGAGGAATGGGGAGGGCAGGAGAGCACTTTAGGGAGGGGGAGGCCTGGTGGGAGTCGGGGGAGAACAT